GAGGGGGGAGGGAGCGGTTGCTGGATGGGGGGGTGTTAAAAAGGTGGGGGGTGGAGGTTGTGTGTGTGTATGTATGTTCTTGTGTGTTTGTATATTTGTGTGTGTGTGTGTGTGTGTATGTTTGTATGCATATGTTTGTTCATAGCTTAAGCGCTAAAGTGCTTGTATTTATAGTTGCATAACACATACATAGATAACATACAATTATATCTAAATGAATATAGGTCTAGATTGTATTCCACCAAAAAAATTTACAATTTTTTTTTCTGAATATCTCTCACAAAAATAAAATTGTTCTAGAATGTTGTAATTTGGAACATACATAATTCACTGAAAAGGAATTTGTTTGACATTAAATATATTATAAAGGAGAAACGTATTTTGAAAAAGGAAATGGCTTTTTTTAAAGCACCCCATAAATTCAAAGTTCATCAGTTTTCACAAATCTTTTAAAGAAAGTCGTGAAACGACTGTTTGGCTTTTCCACTTTATTTTCTCTTTGACGTTTGATTTTACATTCCTGCTACATTCAAACAATATTTAATTTCTTTTGAAGAGTTTTAAAAAACTAACAATTTTATATTGGAATTCCTAGAAGCAGTGCTCCACATTCCCTCCTTTGGACTCGACACATTTTTAACACATCGTTCGCAATGTTCAGTGGCGGCCAACCACAAGGACCTGCCAAACCATGAGTGTTTCAAGCCACATACACTGTACATGTTCAGTAAACAGTGGTTCCTAGAGACGATAGGCTGTCCAATAGACTGCACTTTTGGAGTTAACATAATATCCTGACTGAAAGGGGAAAATGGGCTTTGCACTAGACCAAAATGTCATCGAAGAAATGTTATTGCTTTTCAAGACGATCGAGGAACCATGAACACATTGCCATGCTCTCATCCAAGTTATCTCGGCCGAGCGAACGTACAAAATAATAATAATATACAATCGTAGGTGGAGATCAGCCTTAAATAAGAATGCGGAGCGTTGAGGTGTAGGAAAGTCCTAGCCGCAGACATCGTCTACGACAGACGTCTCATGGGACTCAACTTCTGTGACTGTGAATGGTGTGTGTTCCACCGGAAGTGGTCGTTTTGTTCGGGGATTTTATTTTTAATTCGCTAAAGTTCCAACTTCTCGGGCTTAGTAAGGTTTTTATGGCGCTCGCAACTGCATAAGGTCATATGAGAGCCAAGGGGTGGATGTCAACAGAGAAGTCCAAACTCAGGCTTACTCTGCTCACCTCTCTAGCCTCAACAGCACAAAGTCTGCTTCGACTATCAAGGCACCCCGGAAATAACTGTTCATAAGAGAATGACAAACATAAAAAGTAGAGGGAAAAAAACGATAGTAAGGATGAGGAAAGAAAAAGCAGCAGCTCCCCCTGTGTTGTTCCGGCACTGTATGAGCATGGCATTGATAAATCAGCCCATTTACAATTCTACTGTGAATAAGAACATGTTAATATCCCCCCTTTGGGAATGGCCTAAAGACAGCACCGTCGACTTCCCACCATGACGCCAAAGAAGGTCTCGATGGCACTTCATCATTTCTTCCATGTTCTGCGCGGAACTTACGAAATGTCAGGGATAGTGAGTTGGTGGAGAGGAAATGTTCAATACAAAAAGCTCTCTGCTCTTTACTAAACTTAACCATAATCTCAGCAGGCAAAGGAAATTTGGGAAAAACAAGATCTGGAAACTTGTGTTGACTTGTTAGACTGTTGTAGCTTGCGATATGGCGCGATTGTTGCCACTTTTAGTGGTAGGCCTAACGCGAACTGGTGCGTCATGCTACAAAAATGGGGACAAGACTGAAAATTGGTTGTTGTTTTTTTATGACCCATGTAGAGGAAAACCATTCTGTGCAATTATCTAAAATGGATATCAGACAAATTCCTATTGGCTTCAAAATATTGTGGTCAAATTTAAAACGCAAAACTTCAGTATGGAGGAAAATATTTACAAAACAAATAGTAAAGTTGTTTTTTGGATCACCCTGTATATAATATGCTAATTATGCCAGTTATTATATATTGTGTCTGTTGAAGTGTGTTTGTCTCTGTGTGTGTGTCTGTGTGTGTGTGTGTGTGTGAGTATGTGTGTGTGTGTGCGTGTGTGTTTGTGTATGTGTATATGTGTGTTTGTGTGTATATGTGTGTTTGTGTGTGTTTGTGTGTGTATGTGTGTGTGTGTGTGTGTGTGTGTGTGTGTGTGCGTGTATGTATGCGTGTATGTGTGCGAGTATGTGTGCGTGTATGTGTGCGTGTATGTGTGCATGTATGTGTGCGTGTATGTGTGCGTGTATGTTTGCGTGTATGTGTGCATGTGTGTGTGCGTGTATGTGTGCGTTTAT